AATGTGAAGGCCAAGATCCAGGACAAGGAAGGCATTCCCCCCGATCAGCAGAGGCTGATCTTTGCTGGCAAGCAGCTAGAAGATGGCCGCACCCTGTCCGACTACAACATCCAGAAGGAATCCACCCTGCATCTTGTGCTGCGCCTGAGAGGTGGCATGCAGATCTTTGTGAAGACCCTGACGGGTAAGACCATCACCCTCGAGGTTGAACCTAGTGACACTATTGAGAATGTGAAGGCCAAGATCCAGGACAAGGAAGGCATTCCCCCCGATCAGCAGAGGCTGATCTTTGCTGGCAAGCAGCTAGAAGATGGCCGCACCCTCTCTGACTACAACATCCAGAAGGAATCCACCCTGCATCTTGTGCTGCGCCTGAGGGGTGGCATGCAGATCTTTGTGAAGACCCTGACGGGTAAGACCATTACGCTTGAGGTTGAACCCAGTGACACGATTGAAAATGTGAAGGCCAAGATCCAGGACAAGGAAGGCATTCCCCCCGATCAGCAGAGGCTGATCTTTGCTGGCAAGCAGCTAGAAGATGGCCGCACCCTCTCTGACTACAACATCCAGAAGGAATCCACCCTGCATCTTGTGCTGCGCCTGAGGACTACAACATCCAGAAGGAATCCACCCTGCATCTTGTGCTGCGCCTGAGGGGTGGCATGCAGATCTTTGTGAAGACCCTGACTGGCAAGACCATCACCCTCGAGGTTGAGCCCAGTGACACCATTGAGAACGTGAAGGCCAAGATCCAGGACAAGGAAGGCATTCCCCCTGATCAGCAGAGGCTGATCTTTGCTGGCAAGCAGCTGGAAGATGGACGCACCCTCTCTGACTACAACATCCAGAAGGAATCCACCCTGCATCTTGTGCTGCGCCTGAGGGGTGGCTGTTAAGTTATTGTGCATCTTGCTGAACAACAAGATTGCCAACAGCAGTTGTGTTTGCACTGTAGTTCCGCAGTGTCTTAAGTTAAATACAAGGTTAATGTAAGCTTAGTAACTGCTGAACAACTGTCTGTTGAAATGCTAATAAAGTTTTCTGTTGCACATTACAACTGGTAGTCTGTCTCAGTTCAAGCTAGTAAAACTGGTGTAATTTAGGTGATGTGCTTACTTTGGCTTTCTTCCATGGCAGCTTAAGCCTCTTTAGATGTATAATGAGGACACTGTGGGTGGAACAGATATGGATTAAAGTCTTAATTTAAACACTTAATACCATGTTAATTCTTCTTACTAGAGTTTTAACACAGCTCTCTTTCCAGGAGGGAATGTTCTTTTAAAGACCCCAGAAAGCCACAAACAGAATAAAAGGGTATGTTTGTCAGTTCAGTGGGGTGGGTTTTGCTACAAGTTGTGAACTTGTGTTAAAATTGACTCTGCTCCTGAGATGAGTGTGGACAGTTTGATTGCTTGACCCTGCCACAAAGACTTGAGCTTTGGTGTGCTCAGGGGTGCTTTGTAAAACAAATGTGAGTAGTGCTGTATTTTTTTAAATGGAAAAACTACTGTGTATTCCAGTGACAGCCTGTTCAAATTAATTTTTCCAGAAGTGGATGTGGGGTGTTCCTGTGGCTGAACTACATGGAATGCATGACGTGGGGAAGGAGTAATTGCAGTGAGTTACTGCAGGGGCATGCAGTGGGTGGTGGGGAGTCCACTTTGATATGTTAGTGAAAACTCCAGTCTTAAATACTGAATGGCAGTATGTGACTGAGCAGTACAACTTTGGTTTGTTGTGAAATTTTTTTTTTTACACAATAACATCAAAAAGTAGGGATTTCTGACTGAAGTCTGGGTTTGTTTTTTTTAAGGGGTTATGGAAACTTGCCCAACAGGTGGGGTTAGAATGGCTTAATTCAGCTGTGTGGTGTTGGGTCTTTAAAGGTGGGTGTAATCTGTGCCTCTCTCAAACAACTAGGCTGTAAGGATGGTGGCTGGCTGTCTTCATCTGTTGAATTCTGACAGCTGTTTAACTCGCAATGGGAGTCTGGGCATCCATATGCTGTGTGCGGTGTTTCTGTGCTGGTGCTCTTTGCTTTTTACTATAAACCTGTTTTAACACACCCATCTTGACACATCCACTGTAGTGTTGCTGTTAAAGTTTGTTTCTCTTTGTTTTCAATTTGTAACTTACAGTGTGTGTGGTAAGTAATGTGCTTGTATCAGCAGTGCATTCTTAGCATCGCTGCAGTCGGGGCCAAACAGTTACACTGTTCTCATAGAAAATGCACATTCTAACTAAGGACACTGTAGTTTTAATGGTTATAACCAGGATAGGTTTGTTTTCAGCATCAGGGCTTGCTTCCCTGGCTACTATATGTAGCTGGGCTAGCAGAAATCTAAAGTTCTGTAAACAATTGCTGTAAGAGATAATTTACTTTCCTGCTATTGCTTCCTTTGCCTTTCCTTTTTATGTTCTTCTGCTTAGCAAAGCCTTGCTTTTTCCACTGTAGCCACGTAGGCAGGTTGTGCAGAGAGGTTGTGAAGTCTCCTTCCTTGGAGATACTCAAAAGCTGTCTGGACATTCTGGGCAACCAGCTCTAGGTGGCCCTGGTTGAGTAGGGGGCTGGTCAAGATGACCTCCAAAGGTCCCGTCCCAGCCCAACTGTTCTCTGATTCTGTCCCTTCTTAGTGGGTGTCCAGCAGCCCTGCTCTGAGCAGTGCATAAGGTCCCCAAACAGTTTGTAGTCCAGAGGAGATACGGCACTAAATTGACATTCCTTTTCCTGCTGATGGTTTGCTCTAGGGCGAAGCTAGCTGCTTTACCTTCTCTGGCTCATAATTAAGAGATGTCCTTTCTTAAAGTTCTAATTAATCTGTGCTGCGTGGTCAGATAACTGATCAGAGAATGCAGCTATGATGGGTGCAGCTGACCGTGCAGAGCTCTCCTGGGGGTTTGGCCCACTCTGTAAGAAGGGGAACCCTGGGAAGGTGCTGTGTTGTTGGCTGAGTGGGTCTGCACCAGCGTCCCGGGTGTGCTCGCTCCAAGCTGGATTTGGCCAGAGCCAAACCTACATGGAGCCACTGTCCCTGCTGGTACTTGGGGTGTCCCTGTTTGTGGACGGTCCGTAAGCAGAGCTGTGTGTGGAGCCTGCTTTGAGCTGGCCGTGGGCAGAGGGGGAATGTGCCAGCGTTTTGTGATTGTGGGGAACAGCTTAGGCCTGGTTTAGGCAGCCTTGCCTGATTGTGTTAAACTGAACGTGTCCGTGTGCTGTTTTCCCCAGCCCTGTAGGAAGATTTCCTTAGGTGAAGGTGGTGCTGGAAGTTAATTAGCCCTGCATTTGGCTTACTAGACACGGCACAGAAAAGCACATCCTTAAAGCCAAAGTATGAGGAGTGGAATCCCAAGATTGTTTCAGTACCTGGGTGAAGAGTCGAGCCAGACTCAGGACATGGGGGCACTTTCTGCACTACTGTAGGAGCTGTGGTACTGAGGCTCCCGATCCCCCAGCTAACGGAGGGATGGCAGTCACTAGCTGGGAGGGATGACTGCGCAGGTTTTCTTCATCAGTAAAGACAAATCTTTGCAATTTGTCTTAAATTATGTGAATTAGGGAAAAGTACATAAATTACAAGGAAATATAAATACGAATTTTCTTAACGTGCATTGTTTACACTGAAGAAATAGTGAACAAAAGACAAAGAGATTTCAGGCAATATGAATGATTGAGGTTAAGATGCAACTTTCATTTTTCTTACAGTGCAGTGGTACCTCAATTCAATCTGCTTAGAGCCAACGATTCATAACTAAAAGAAGAATTTAATAGGCTTCAGCCAGAATCTATGCTCTACTAAAATAGAATAATCCTAATGCTCCCATATTGACAACCAATTCTGGTAACATCTTTCAGTCCTCTTGCAAACTGAGTTTTGTGTCTGGCCTTTTAATTTGTTTCTTATACCTTCAGTTAATTTCTAGTCTATTCTCTTTTTTTTTTAAAAAAAAGAACACACCAAGATTTCAGGCATTTTGTCTTCTGCTATCTTAAAAAAATACTTGTATCCATTTGAAGATAACAAATGAGATAACCCTTGGTTTTGGATATGTTTAGTGTTTTGCTCTGTTAGCAACCACCCCAAAACTTAATCATTTAGGGGAAGTGAGTTTTAAGGCAGATAAACATTGGGAATACCTCAGTATTTTTGCAGTTTTGTCTGCAGTTCCAAGGCATTGCATAGTAGCTGCATTCAAAGATCCTTGTCTGCACAAATTATATTTACGAAACACCACATCATCAAAACCGGCCTTATTTGGAACTTGAGTTTTTAAATTAAACAAGTTTGTTAGCTGTTTTCATACAAAGAGTAAGTGAATGGCTATAATTATCACAAGTATATGCTAGCAACTTTTTTTTTTTTTTAACTATCTTTGAAGAATTTCCTATCGAGGCTGTTTTCATACGCAGCGCGTATTCAGGTTTACGTAGTGGCCACTGGATGTCACTCTTTCTCCACAAAAGTTGTTTTGTAACGTTACCGTTGGATTTCGTGTTTTGCTGCTATTTGATTGTCAGTGGAGCATTCCTTCAGGCTGTAATCCTACAGAAAGGGATACATCAAGTAGAAATATACTTCCATTTAAGGAATAAGAGAAGTGGATGGTTCCTTCAAGGGCCTGGGAAGTATATAGATAGGAGCTGTTAAATATTACTGTGTAAGTAACAGAAATACTGTCACGTAGCTTGAGTCCCCAGGGCTATCAGACAAGTTCTGACAAGGAATTATATTTAGGAATATTTATATTTTACATTGGGGACTCACAGGCGTCTCTCGGGGTACAGAATTCTATCTGTATAATTATAACAAATGAAGCTGATAAAACCCATCCTTTTGGTGTGGGTTTTGTGTAACAGTTGCATGAAAACGAAAATCTGTCCTTGCAAAAGTATTTGCTATTTTCCTAAGTGTGAAAATACACCTCTAAAAGAAACAGTTTTTTTTCTTAACCATGTGGCTGTTGGGAGATTTGAATGAAGTGGCTGGCCTACCCATTGTTTTGGAGAGGATTTTAATGGCCCACCCTTGCACGTTATTACAGGTTTCCCTCCTCCTGTGAAGATGATTTTAAGCTGCTGCTCCTTAGCGTGCCTGCAGATCAATGCTGTAATTAAATTACAGACACATGTAAGTGACTTCAATCTTCTATTTACAGCATACATACAGAAAATGTGATATTAATCATAAATCTATTATGGTTTTCAGTATTTGGTAAAAAATGGACACTTAGGTGAACAGAGAATACGTATTTTAGGAAATGTCCTTGTTTCCATCAACACCTTCCTCATGCTTCCTTTTGCTTTCTGTTTAAGCAGGTTCCAGTCGTTGCTTTTTCTGACATGAATTACCGTGCTGCTTCATATATATTTGGTAATATTATTAAATGAAAGTTGGTTTAACTTAATTTCACTTAGTAGTTAAGAGTTTGACTTCTTTCTTCAGAGGTTCAGAGTTTCCACAGAATGTGTGTCTCCTGAGCAATTGCAAGATTCCTTCTTGTTCCCCCGACTAAGCACCTCAAGAGGCAAGAGGATCACATGTTGCTTTTGAAAGCTTTTGCTGGCAGATAGATGAAATTAAGTTGCTGCTTTTATTCTCTGTGCATGCTGGTTTGGATGGCTTCCTCCTGAGCCCAAACAGCTATAAGGATTTTAAATTTTGGTGGCAAGATGCTTGTTAAGCATCTCTGGCTCGGCTGGCTAGTGCACGGCAGTGACATAATCCCGTTGCTTGGAATGCTGTCACTGGCAAGTGCACGTTTGGGCAGATCTTGTACTTTTTTTCTGCCTTGCTTCTCCTTTCTCTGAAATGGAAGTGCAAGTGTTTACCCTCGTGTACTCTCTGTGAAAGCATGTGCGCATGTGTGTGCGAATACCAAAGTTTCTGTGTTCTCCCAGCAGCTCCGTGTTTCTGTTTTGCTGTGGTGACCTCTAAGCTGGCAGTGATTCCTTTCCCAGCAAGCTGCACATTCTCCTTCCTCTGTGTAAGCTATTAAAACCAGATGTGCAGAAAGAACTCGGTTATGATGTGCTTTTGTGGGCTGATTTCCTTCCTTGGCTGGAATGGTGGGCTGACCCCCACAAAAGCTGGGGGAAAAGCCCAAGAGGATTTAAACCCATAGGTCTGAGCTAAACTCTTGGGCCTGAATCTGCCTGTTGATATCACACTAAATTAAGTGTAACATGACTAAAGCAAACTGAACTAATTCAGTGCAAGGCTGGAATGAGGGATAAGAGAGAGGAGAGCTGGTCTTGCATTTATCTGCATATGTTTATTCTTTATAGGCTGTTCTGTGGGTGCTAATAAATCATTAACCCTGGAAAGAACAAGTAGCTTTGCATTGTTCCAGTATCAGCTTAATTTTGAAACATGGGAACGTGAGAAAAAAGCTTGTGATCTCATGCAAAACCATGAAAGAGGAAAAGGCACCCTGCCATTTAATGGGTGTATTTATAGGAAGGTCCTTTCACAGCCTGCATCTGACTTGAAGTAAAAGCTATCTGGGAACGTTTCTATGGGTGGCGACCACATTCCAGGATGTCTCACATCATCCTGCAGTCCTGTCAGATGAGGATTGCTTTAGGCTCTCTTTTGGTTCATGGTAGGTTTGGAAGAAGGAAGCCACAGCCAGAGTTCAGTGTGTCATGTGATATGGTCTCAATGGGTTTGGACCAATGTTTAGCTAAAGTTTTGTGATTTCTCATGGAATGTGCCCCTGTTGTCAAGCTGTTGATCAGAAGAGCTCTTTACCATTCTGTTAGTTAATATGATTCTCTAGATGAACTCTAGATCACATAAATGGCTTTGTAAATCATCAGTCCTCTACAGAGTACAGATGAGAATCACTCCGCAGCAACGTTGTGCTGGGGAAGGCTGTTAAGACTGTGGGTGCTGCACGTCACCCTGCGCAGATGCTGCGGAAAATAATGATCACGCTGCCTCCTCAGGCCTTAGTTGTGTTAGGAGTGGGAGAGAAGAGACTGAGACACTTGGTGTGGGCTGATGCTCTCTGTTTCCCAAGGTCCTGTTTTGTGAGTGGTAAGTGAAGTGGCATTAGTGTGTGTGCGCGGTCTCAGCGGCAGTCAGTTGTAGGGATGGCCAGTCCGTGTTCCCAGAAGTAGCCTCTCCAAGACTCCTGCTCCTTTGGACAGCCAACCTCCATTAAGAAATGGGCACTAGTGGCAAATGAAGTAACCAGTGGCCTTAAGCATTTTGGAGCTGTGGCTGCTTTATGCAGTGTCCTGTGCTCGTGAGGAGCAGCTGACACTGTACTTCGTAGGGTAATGTTCTGGCTAGTTTATGGTCTCCTATGGTTTGCACTGCCTCGTAACCGGCGTGTGTGAAGTTGTGTGAGAAGTGGCTTCCCAGGCAAACAGTTGACCTCGGGTGATTCCATGCACACTTTGCTTGTCCTGGGGCTCACTGAGGGAGCCTTGTGACAAACCTCACTCTAGCACCGTCAGGGTCCAACCAGCCACCTGCCTTGCAACCCGAGCAGGCTGCTGTTGAAAGCCACGAGATGTTGCCTCTATACGTGCAGGCAGGGGTTAAGCATTATGAATTTGCAATAGCCAGCCAGCTTTCCCATATAAGAGCACTGCACTCATTGGCTCTCTCTTTTACTGAGAAATCTATCTAGTCATTTCCTGTGCAAGCCCTTCTTCACTTTGCAAAAAGCTACACAGTTGAGTAAATAACAATAATCCGTGGTTATTCCTTCTCGCAGGCAGTTTGGATTCTCTGATGGACCAACCAACTAGGAGTTTAACGTTGTGCCATTAATAGACTGCTAACATGAGCATGGTCTTCTCTGCAGAAGAAGAGGACTCTCACCCATGGATGTAAATAATTTGGGGTCTGCTTTCATGCTTATTAATGCTTGTTGGTGTTTGACTTGGTTTCTACTGAGAGATTATTTACCCTCTGAAGGACCCGTTGGGACTCCTTGTCAGATCAGTTCTTGGGTGGAGCTTGCAGCAACTTGAGGTAAGTGCTGTGCTCTTCCTCTTGACAACAGGGCTTTTCTGTGCTGCGCTACTCAAAATGGCTTGGTAAAGTCGCAGAAAGAAACAGCTCGGCTCTTTAGAGAAGTGAAAGTTGAGCTGGCAAACAGTGCTCTGTGTGTTTCCGATGGACACACAACGTGGATGTATATATTATAGGGTCCTTTTTTATAGGACCATTTTGCTCTTGCTTTTAAACCAGACGGTCTGTCTGTACAAGACTGACAATAAATAACTCTCGAGCGCTGTGGAGAGGTGGAAACTGCAGCTGAGAAATGATTTGGGGGAAAGGAAGACAGAAAAGCACAAGCAAACTATTATGGAAATACAAATAGCCCTCTAAAGGATTAACAAATGTATCAGTAAGTGTTCTGGGGGAGGAAATAAGTCTGAAATGGGATTATAGGGTGTATGCCTGTGTGTGCAGAGGAATGTTTGTCATTAGAGTGCAGGCTAAACTGAATGGCTGAATTATCATAATGGTTTGCCTTGAAATCAGCCCTTAGATCTCTTGCTGTGAGCTACATAAAGATGTTTTGTGACTGTTTTCTGCCTAAAACTACATTTCTCCACATCCTAATCCAAGACAGAATGCTTATGCTGTGTCAATTTACCTCTTTGCTGGTACAGGCTATGGAGTCTGGCTGTAGTCCCAGCAAGAGAGATTTCTCTTCAGAGAAAACCTGTTAACCATTTGGAGGGAGTACATGTGAACAAGACGGAGTTATTAAATAAAGGTCTGCTTCAGGTTGGTAATCATGGATGTTTCCTTGCTGCCTCACAAACCGTGTGTGAATCCACAGCCATGTGCTGACTACAGATAGCTTGTATTCACTGTGGATCTGAGATGTATCCAGCTATATAGGAAGAAATGTCTCAGAGTAAAAAAAGACTACAGAACATATTAGATGAGAGAAGTGGGCTGGCTGGGTGCTCTGAATACTGATGCTGTCTGTACAGCAAATCTGGATCCAGCTTTGCTCTTGGGAGAGCTGTGCTCTGTTCAGGCTCTGAGGACTGCGAGTGTCCACACGGCAGCTGGGGCGTGTGCCTGTGCAGTAGAGCTGGGAGTTCAAAGCCTGTGCTCGCACAGATAGCCACCAGCTCCAAACACTGGGGAGATCCCACTCATTTTGCCCCAGGATGAAATGTGAGAATGCATGATGGGAACATAATTTGTGCCTGTCTTTTCCCTGTAGAAGTAGTGTCATGCTTACCAACAGAAAACAGGAACAAACTTATCATTCTGTTCCAAAGGCCTACAGTTAATCTTATCTTTTTGGTCACTTGGTGGCTAACTAGCCTGTGCTGGCTGCACTGAGACAAGAACAATGATCGTAGTCTCCTAAAGATCCACTTTCTTTGCCTTTTATGTAAGGAACCTGTGCTGCTGCCAACAGGTGAGGTCATCTCACAAAAGGGGTTCAGATGTTCTGCAGACAAGTTGCCTGTATTTCATGAACGGCCTTTGAACTTCTTTGCCAGTGGTACCCTATTTAAGACTTTGATCCTTTATTCAAATACTCCTACTGTGCAGAGTTTTACTGACTCTCTCAAGGGACCTGCAGTCAGCTGTAGGAACATTGGACCTGGAAAATACGCTTTCTTCTCTGTGCCACACCAAGCACATTCTAGGATTGTGAACAAATTGTGTTAATTCTCCCTTGCAGGTTTAGTCTCCCAGCGGGGAACGCCTTTGATCTGAAAGACCATCTCTGCTAGAAATGGATAACTTCACAAATGGGCAGCCGGGCCCAGGTCAGAGGAACAGGTTGATGGGATTGCTAGAAACAGATGACAGTATCCAGGAAGATAAACCTGCATCTAGCAAAAAGGAAGAAAGATCAGGACATGGAAAGAAAGGAGAGCCACGACCCTTGGAGACACCTTATCAAAAGGAGAGCAGTGACTTTTCTCCTAAAGTCAAGATTAATCTGAACTATAGGCCAGGACTCGTTAGCAAGTGAGTAACTGTTGGGTATTTGACAAGGCTGCAATCGCTGTGTGGATCTGTACTGATCCCTGCTGGTAGGGACCCATGGACTTGATAAAGCCTAAACTAAAAGTGGTAATGCAGAAATATTACAGGCATCTCGTGGGAGGTAATTAAAAGCAGAAAGGGGACATATTAACCCTTCTGCGCATGGAAGGTATGTGTAATGTGTGTGTGTTGTGGTATATTTTGACTATATCTGAAGTAACACTAAATAAACCAAGTTGGGTGTAAGAGCAGCTTAGTGTGGAGCTCTATACAACTGGACTGTTTCTGCCAGGGAGGGATGTAAACCAGCTCAGAGTGCTTCACACCATGTGATGGGACTGACTCTGGTCCTGCAGCTATCTTGGGCTTCTCTGTCTTCGTGCTCTCAATGTGTTCCAGGGTTGCACATCAGGCTGGATCTGGGAAGAGCTCCAGCTGATGGAAAGAGCAGCCACTTAAGAGAGTTCTGGGAAATAATTGCCTCTATTTTTCCCTTGACTCAAAAATAAAGTACTTGGTTTTTCCGACAAACTTTTCTGTCTCCCTCCTTTCTTATGCTGGCCCACTAGAACTTACTGCATACTCTTGTCTTCTGCTCTCCAGAATTTCTTAATGCTTTGCATTTCTTTCATAGCCAAAAAGACCCAAATCGCTTTGACAGAGACAGGCTCTTCAGCGCGGTCTCAAGGGGCAGCCCCGAGGCACTGGATGGTTTACTTGAGTACTTAAGGAGGACCTCCAAGTTTCTCACCAATTCTGAATACACAGGTAGATTCCTGCTCCATACTCCGTAAACGCGGGTAGCAGAGGCAGCACTTGTTAATGTAGGAGGGCAGTGGGGGAACCTGCTTGTGGTTCTTTGTGTTCTTCAGCCCTCTGTCCATTCTTTTATTTTCCTAATGTCCACCTGAGGATGGAGCATGCCGTTAATCACATATATCCTAAGACTTCTGGCTCTACTGCAGACTAAAAATACTGAGAAGGGCCTTTAATGATTGTATTTGGCTCTACAGTGACAGTTAAGTTCTGGATCAAGTAGTACAGATGTGTGCAAAGTGTACACACAACCCATTCAGCCCATTTCCAAGGGTCTTTTCCAACCCGAATGATTTTGTGATTCTATGAATACTCTTTTTCTACTAGATGCAAAGACTGGGAAGACCTGCTTAATGAAAGCCCTGTTGAACTTAAAAAATGGAAAGAATGACACAATCCCACTTTTGCTGGAAATAGACCAAAAGACACAGAATCCCAGGCCGCTTGTCAATGTGGCGTGCTCTGACTGTTACTACAGAGGTAAGGTTTCCATTCTGATGCTGTGTCACAGCACTTTCCACATTAGACGGGTGAGATGAACAGGTACAGGGAAAAAGAGGAGAACCAGAGTTTATGCAGCACTGCGGTTCCAGAGTTCTGGTGCGGTCACAGTAACAGCCTAGTCAACCCTTATTTCTGATTCTGGTACTGCATCTTCAGCCTTGAATTACACTTCTGCAACTTTGTTCTTGGTCTATAAAAGAGAAATGATACATATTTAATAACCCAAGACTATGAGAGAATTTCTTTGGAAAGCTTAGAAAGCAAGTCTAAAAGTGAAAAATAAATAGCATATCGCTATCAAAGAATGAATTCTGCTGTTCGGGTTATTCTTTTAATAGCAGACATGCAGCATAGTCATGTACATGTATGGTTGTCTTTATCCCCTCACAGCTGCTTGAGATCTTAGTGCCAGTTAGGGATAATTGCCTGGTCTTGTGTTGGATTTCTGATAGCCTTGAGGTCTGTCTTCTGACTCAGTGTTTGCAACGTGCTTTTCCAACGAACATTGTTGAAAGTCATCAACTGCCACCCACCCCCTGCCCAGCGCTGGGACTGCAGGATTGCTGTGCAGAACCTACAGCGACTGTTGAAACAGCACTTTGCTGAAGAGTCCTCTGCCTGTTCCCTCTGACAGTGGCACTGAGTGTCAGGTTTTGCCTGTTTCCTTAGGGCAGACAGCACTCCATATTGCCATAGAGAAAAGGAGTCTAGATTTAGTGAAACTTCTAGTAGAGAATGGAGCTGACGTCCATGCCAGAGCCCATGGTGAATTCTTCAGGAAGAAGAAAGAAGGAGTTTATTTTTATTTTGGTGAGTCAGTACGGAACATGTTCCTTTGCTTTTTTTATTGCTTTACTCTGTGTGATGCCCCTCTGTGCACGGGTTGCCATCTCCGCTGTCCTGTAATCAAGCTCTTGACTTATTTGAATGGCAAGATCCGGATGGAGGTGTCCTGTGAGCATTTGCCATCATCTTTGGTCTTATATATTTAATCCCATCTGAGGGGCTTCAGACAGAGACAAATGCTTGGCTATTTTAACCAAATTAGGGGGCTGGGAAAGTGTTTCAGCTGTCCCCAGAAACAAGGGGTAATTGTCTACTGCAAAATCCTTTCTCAGTCTAGAGACACTGAGAAAGAACTTGTTCTGTGTTCCAGTGGTAAAAATATAGGCTAAATATATTTTCCTAGAATTGATTTTGGTTTTTTTAATTCTTTTTCACCCCTTTCTGCTGCCCCTCCAAATACTATCCTGATCTCTTCAGGTGAACTTCCCCTTTCCTTGGCTGCTTGTACCAACCAGCTTGAGGTGGTGGAATATCTTCTAAACAATCCCCATCAGAAAGCCAGGCTCCAGGAGCAGGATACACAGGGCAACACAGTCCTCCATGCCCTGGTGATGATTGCAGATGACACTGAGGAGAACACCAAGTTTGTGAGCACAACATATGTTGAGATCTTGAAGGCAGGTGTGAAGGTTGACCCAACGTGGAAACTGGAGGAGATTGTGAATTATGATGGACTAAATCCTCTGCAGCTTGCTGCCAAGACAGGCAAAGTGGAGGTAAAGGCAACTGGAGGGAATCCCTGGGGTTGCAGAGAAGCAAGGAAGACTGTAGCATACACCCTCAGCTTAGCAATGGGGTTTGATCCTTCACCCAACCTATTGTAATGCTGCGGAGAGCGGCAGTGCCACAGGAGGCAGTAAAGGAGACCTCCTCCAGGCCACTCCAGTTAGCACCCTACAGAGTCTCAGCTGGCTGCTGCTGCTCTCTGTCTCAGCCAAGACAGCTGGTCTGGACCCAAATTGGTCCTACTCTGGAGGAGCTGATACAAGATGTAGTTAATTTGCCTGCTTTTAGCCAGATAGTCTGTTGTTTGGAGATACCAAAGTGTATAATGCAGAAAGCCAGGTGTCCTCTACTTGAAGGTGATTTGAGTGTGCTTGTGTCACTCTACACCTTCTTTACATACACATTTTTCTGGTATGCATGCGGTTTCTCTCCAGATCTTTAAGCACATCATCCAAAGAGAGATCAAAGACCCAGTGTACAGGCACCTGTCACGCAAGTTCACTGAATGGACCTACGGACCCATCCATGTGTGTCTCTATGACTTGTCCTCTATAGACAGCTTTGAGGAAAACTCTGTGCTGGAGATTCTGGCATACAGCAGTGACACACCGGTGAGTGTTCAAACTAAAAGTCAAAGAGACATATCTTTTTCTGCCTTTCTGTAGTGTTGCTCTACAATTATATAAAATAATTTCAAGTTAATATGGTGTTTCACATGATCATTTTTCTGGAAAAGAAACAACATGATGGAAGTATTTCTACATTTTATTATTTACAGTCTGCTTAGTATGCCTCTGATAATCTATAATATGAGAGAAATTTTTGACCCTTTGGTTGTCCTAAGCCTGGGTGTGTCCAAATACTTTGAAGCCAAGCAGGAGTAGCTTCTTATGGGATGGTTGATTCCTTTCATACTGAAAGGCCTGAGTAAACCCTTCGTGATACCCTGGCTGGAGCTGCTGAACTCCAACCCTGAAAAAGAGAGTCCTCTCGTGAATTTGCATTCCTATTGATCATGGGTACATTTTTGTTGCTTGTTTTTCCATAGAATCGTTACAAGATGGTGGTTTTGGAGCCACTGAACAAACTGCTTCAGCAAAAATGGGAAACGTTTGCTTCCAAGAGATTCTACTTCAGTTTTGTCTCATACTTGTCATTCATGATCATCTTTACAGCCATTGCATACTATCAACCCTTACGGGTAAAGGTAGGTCCAATCTTTTTTCATCTGGGAAGGCCTGAATGGATGGAGCTGAGTTTTAAAAGGTGCAGGGTGGTTATCATTGCTACCTCTGCCTGTCATCAGCGTTTTGGATTTTTTTTTTTTTGTTTTAATCTTGCAGCCTTCATTTCCAGTGGAGTTCACAGCTGGAGGCTTCCTGTGGGTCTCTGGACTGATCATTATCTTGCTAGGAGGCATTTACCTAATCTTTGCTCAGGTATGGGGACCTATTGTCTAGTTGCATTGTAAGAAAGCAAAAAAGGAAACTATCACTGACATGGAGGCAACTGGGATTCGGTTCTCCTGACATGAGAATGTGCATGAGGTGGATGGCAGGGGGGAATCCTGCTCTGAGACACACTGTCAGCGCAGTCAGGCAGTGACAGGGGTGTCATCAGCCAGACTGCTGGACAAGAGATAGAATAGGTTCACAACAGCAAATAATTGAGACGCTGCTGTGATTTACGGTACTAAAATGCATCCTTGGCATTTAATGCGGTCTATTAATAAACACATTGGGCTGGGCCATGATTCAGCCCTTATTTATAAAGGGCAAGGATAAATAAGGCCTCTTCTTTATCTTGGAAGGATGACTAGCTGAAATCTGGGATCTTGGAAATGAAATCATGAAGAGAAGCTTATGGAGTAAACCTTTCCCCTGAGCAATACACTATGCTAGGCAGGAGTCTCTCTCTAGCATGCCCTGGTTTTTGATGGATGGCTATCATTGCTTTTTCTTTATTAGAGCCTGTACTTGCGGAGGAGGCGCCAGTCCCTGAAGACTATGTGTTCTGACAGCTGCATTGAGATCTTGATGTAAGCCTCTTGAGGTTTTTTTGCACGATGAAAATATGGGTGAAATTGGTTCTCTGCTGTGTGCAGCTAAGTTGCCCTAACATTACTAGAGAGATGGTGAGCGGGAAAGATTGATTCTCTGCCACTGTTTCCTCTGTCCAGTCCCTCCCTGCTTGCTTCTACCTGCTGCATCTTGGAATAACCCTTTGTTGTAATGGACTTGGCTGGGTAGGGTCTGTCCTTGGATTTATAGCAGAACACAGTGAAGAGCACACCCTCAATTATTCCACAGTTAAGAACATATTTACTTGTTAGAAAAAGAATTCAAGTTCTTAATCACACTGTCACTGTGGCTGAAGGAATGGAAAATAACTGCTTAATTTTCTGAGGAGAAATATGTGTAGATACATGTATGTGCATGTGTTCATAAGTGTTTACATTTTTTCCATTTAATATCAGTTATGTGAGTTACATCGAGAAGTTCAGAGTTTCCATACTGTGAGATTAACCAGTTCATAACAAAACTGCAACAATTTGTGGGTCTGGTTACGACAGGATTTGCTTATATAAACTATGTGTCTGATTAACTACCACTTTATATGCTCCACGTAGCCTTGTAAAATGTGTTTGCTTTTCCTTGCAAAACAGATCTGCAAATGGTCCTTTTTTGTTGAGGTAAGTCACTGTGTCATTCATTCTGTTTCTCTCCAGCTTCATCCAGGCTTTTTCATTGCTGTTGTCAGCAGTCCTGTATGGTGCAAGTTCAGAAAACTACGTGGCAGTGATGGTGTTCTCCCTGCTTTTGGGATGGGTGAACATGCTGTATTACACTCGGGGCTTTCAGCGCACTGGGATCTACAGTGTCATGATACAAAAGGTCAGTATGTGGAAAAAACTTTGTATGAAAAGCTTTTGGGTGCAAGGAACTAATAGAAAACCTGCAAACACTTAGGACCATGAAAACAATAAATGGAATTGATGTACTGACTATGGCAGTAAAGGTATGTGCAGGAGATTAGATCAGTGCCTTTAAGGAAGTACAAATGTGGTGAACCAGTAGTTTGCTGTCTCTGAATATAGCAAGTGACAGCAGCTGATACTGGCCTGTTTGTCATAAACCAGCAGTCAAAACCAGTGTGAGTTCCCTAGAACTGTTATGCTTGGGCTGAAAAGTGTTTCCAGGTCCATAGAGGAATCTGGGACTAGAAAGAAAAGACAAAACAGAGGTGAAATGAGGTGCCAGGGAAGAATTCTGATCACCACTTGTGTAAAACACAGTGAAGATGGGAGAGAGAGAGAGGCATGTACTGAAAAAATTTGGAAATAGCCATACTGGGGAAGTGACATGATATTTATTTGTTTGAAAGAATCTATTCATACAAACATAATTAATTTCATGTAGTACTGTTAGATTAAGCTACCAATGATGTTACTTATCCGAGGAAGTAATTTAACATATATTAGTAATTTCTTACACTGGATGAAACCATTTTTCAACTTGCTTTCAGTAGTTACTGGGGATTGGTTTATGATGTGTGAGAACAGGAGAGCATCCTGGTGATTTCATGTGAGATAAAGAATGGCACTTCCTCCTGATTTGTGTTTCAGACTATCCTGAGAGATCTGCTGCGTTTCCTCTTGGTTTATATGATCTTCCTGTTTGGCTTTGCTGCAGGTAAGGACTTACTCAGCATCATGTTGTAGACCAGGCTGCAAGAAGTAAATATTTCTGAGGAGGATTCAAATTCTGTTTTTCTCATAGCTCTGGTTACGCTGATGGGGGATGCTCCTTCGGCCTCTCAGAACAAGTCCCTTGCTCACCTGGAGAGCACTGGGAGCCATGCTATGTACGGCGGGCTGCTCAGCGTCTCCCTGGAGCTCTTCAAGATCACCATTGGGATGGGGGACCTGGATTTCCAGGAACATGCCAGATTCAGATACTTCGTCATGCTCCTGCTGCTTCTCTTTGTGATCCTCACTTACATTCTTCTGCTGAACATGCTGATTGCGCTCATGAGTGAAACTGTCACAGATATTTCTGGTTATAGCAAAAGCGTCTGGAAGCTGCAGGTGAGGCACGGTGCTGCTGAGCCAGTTATGTCATGGCCCATACTCCTACTCAAGTATCATAACCTCAGAGATGACAGTGTCTGTCCTAAGCCTCAGCTATAAACTTCTTTTGCATGAATTTGCCACGCTGGAGGTAAATCCTAAATCTTTTTTAGATGTATTAAACTCATGCCATCTGCATGGCTGCCAGCCAGTCCAGATCCATGTGTGTAAGTAACTTGAGAGAGTAACCGACTGGTACTATTAAGCTATGGAGGAGCACTTTGAGATTGGGTTCCAAAGAGATTTTCTAAGCCAAATTAGTTGCTCGTTGGGGAAGATTTAATTGAAAAGAAGTGCTGGGATCTGCAGGCCCTGTTTTCTCTCTGATATGGACTTCTTCTTTCAGAGGGCTATCGCTATTCTAGAAATAGAGAAGGCCTGGCTGTGGCGCCAAGGTGGGAAGAGGAGATCTGGCTGCTTCATGTCAGTGGGCCTCAATAAAAAAGATGAGAGGTGGTGTTTCAGGTAAGACAGATGTACCATTACCCCTTACACTCCAGCCTAGTAATGGGTTTCCATGATTCGTAAGTTGGTAACCCTGAACTGCCACAGGGAATTTCAGCACTGACTCAACAGAGTGACTCAACCACATGTTCCTGGGCACATGCAATTTGGTTGATGATTGCAATGCTGGAAGCTTGAGAGCTAGTTGGGCTGCCAGCATTGTCACCAAGACATCCTGTCACCAAAAGATGTCCTGTTTAAACCACGTCTGTGCAAGTGGTTATGGTGGCAGCGTGTCTGCAGTGCTGCTTGCTTCCCTGCTGCGAGCATGGCCATGCCCGGAGTGGGCTGCGGTGGGAGGGGTGCAGGCTGGTGGGCTCTTTGCTCAGGAACAGCCAACTTGAGCATAACACAAGGGGACAGAACTCCTCCTTGCATCTGAGGGCTTGGGGTGCCAAGGAACCTTCAACCGAACTGCAGGCAGCACTCTGAACTCCAGGGTGTTATGGAGTGTGTATAGAAAGTGGAACCGAGTAGCCTCATTTGTATTAAGTGTGTTCCCTGGGAGGAACCTGGAGGGTTTTAAACCAAAAACAGACCAGCACACAATATGCAGGGGAAGTAGATACCTCGTGGAGCTTAGACTACAGAAAAGCTTTACTCAAAGCTCTGTAGAGTGTTGTTGCTCCAGCCAAGCCATTAGGATTGTGTTGGCAGGATGAGCCGGGCTGGGATGCTGTGCGACAATGAGATCTGGATTGAAAGGCTGTGCTCCATGCATCACTGTCGATTGCATTTTGTCTCTCCAGAGTAGAGGAAATTAAATGGACAAATTGGGCGAAGGATGTGGGAGTTCTTAAGGAAGAACCTGGAAACGTCAGTGATTCAGAAATAAATCCAGAAGGTAAATTAAATCATGATGAAAGGTCGTTGGTATTCTTTTAGTTTCCTGCTCAGCAACTACTCTTGGCATGTTGTTATGTCTTTGGTAACAGAAGTTTTAGGCAGGCCAGCTTGCTCATGAAATTGCTTCTGCACAGCATCCCTTAATTAGTTAGCAGTATCACTTGTGAGCTGAGAAAATAAAAAAATTAGGAGTAGGTATGGACCTGGTCAGAGTTTGGGAGCAAATAACGAGAATGAAGGAGATGCCATTCTTTCTTTCCTTTGGTATAAATGGGCAGGAAACACTGCTGAGAAAATGAAGGGCTGTTCTTCCATTTGACACAGTAGCCCGAATGTGTGTGCTTTTTCCGGGAAAGGTAAAAATGAGGCCTGCTCATACTACAAGTGTCAGACTCACATGTCTTTTAGAGCACAAATCAGGTCATTAACACTGGAAACTTTGTCAAATTCTGCCTGAGATAATGATTTGCTTCCCTTAGAAGCATCTCTGTGGAAAATAGATGTTACTTTCTCTGGAAATATTTTGTTCAGCCTGGCAGAGCTTGTGCAGAAGCTCCACTGGATTTAAACACAGCCCCCTGCTCTTCCAGCGTAGTTTCTTCCTAGGTGCCAGTTTTCTAGGGCTGGGGAGGTTGCAACACTTAATATACTACCTGGTGTATGTTGGGTTTTCCCTAAACCTACACCCTTCTAAAAACTGGGTCCCTTTGTCAGCTTCCTGCTGACAAAGGGCTGCTGTTTTTGTCTCCTGCTGTAGAGACAAGATCATGGAAACGGATGCCACAGAAAGATCCGAGATCAGCTGTTTCAGAGGAGCAGTCACTGTTGCAGCCCCAGCTACCAGCAACTGAGATGATGCCTCTAGAGGGACAAACCAGAAATCTTTAGCAGGTTTTTCTGGACTGCAACCTTGCTTCCGTCTTCAAAGGATTAGTTCTTCCTGCAGCAGCTGGAAGAATTGAAGGCATTATCGGTATTAAAGTGCATTTCATCGAAGACTTTGGTTCAGCCTGTGGCTTTAAATACTTTCATGCACTTTAAACGTTCATTTTCTTTGAAGAAACTATTTTTACTCAACTTTCTCTGCCTGACACTTTCTTATTACTATGTCTAAAAGTGCAAGAGCAAGATCACAGGGGCAGTGGGGAGTGGTTTTTGGGAAGGCAGTGCTTTCTGAGCTGTACAGAAATAATGCTGTTTGCTGTAGAGAAGCAAAGGATGGAGTGACCTGTCTAAGAATGGGTTGACTGTTATTCTTTTGTCACAAGAGACTGCACTGAAGTGCTTTGGAATAAAGAGTGTTGTAGAGTCTTAAAAAGTTGCGAAGGATGAAGTTGGCTCCTGTGCAAAACACTCCTGGTGTGAGACATGAGTGGACAAATAGTCTTCAGTCATCAAGAGTCATAGAGTCTTTGTGTCGGGACCTGCAGTGCTCAGTGTTTAGCCCACAGCAGAATTCCCGTTTTACAATATTATTAAATTGTTTGCATGATGTGCACATTTATTTAAGAACACAAAAGTGATGTGGATTTCCTGGACCTGTAACCTCATGTGGTGAATTTTTGAAAGATCTGTCTGTCACAGGTTGTTTTGTCTCTGTAGAAAACAGCAGCAAAATCCTGCACATGGCTTCTGAGACAGATGAGCCAAAATGCATCGTGTGGTTAACTTTTCCTGTCAGTCTTAGCGGGCGTCCTGTGTTGCTGTAAATGATTGCAAGGACCTCATTGCTCATTTTGATCTGCACACTGCCTCAGATGGGATGGGAAGCGTACTTTAAACTCTGTGGAAAAGAGATAAAAATGCCCTGTCTCACTTTCAGCCTATATTTAAAAATACTAATCTGTTTCTGTAAACTCCACATAGCAAGTTTACTTAATTGAAAATGTTCATCCTTGGATATATTTTAAGATCTTCAGCCTCTCTCAAGAAGGAAGAGATGTGATCAGACTATAAGGCTTGATCAGCTCCTGATCACGTTTTACCCAGCACTGTGCTGACCTCACTGCCATGCAAGTTAACTCTTGTTTTTCACGACCTCATGTCAGTTTATACAGCCACATCTGAAAATGTAACAGCTGATGTTGCATTGGGTGCATCTTTTATACAGGGAATTGCTAGTGATAACCCTGAAAATGTGACAGACTACAGATGTTGGCAGCACTTTTCCTTCAGCAAGATACACCATGCAACTGAAGATCTTCTGTTGCTCATTTCTACTCTGAGCAAGTGAAGCTAGGGAGCTTGTCTTTTGGAGACAATCATCTTAATTCTGTTGCTTACTACATGTATGTGACTGGCAGCAAAAGCATTGCTTTTAAAACTTATTCCCTATCACTTCAAACAGGTTCTTCCCCTGTGCTGGGCAATTCTGTCTGCAGCTTCACTGCATTGAGCCTCTGAATTGTAATTAACTTTTTTCATTCCCAGTGTCTACTGTTTTCTTGCTTTGTGAAGCCTTCAGTTGCTTTTTTCCATCTATGGCTTTGTCCTAAGTGTTCCCAAGATTTGGCAAGGTGCTCATATTGCACAAAAGGATCATCTGGCATATGGTAATCTATTGCTGTGCTTGGTGCCTTGCTGTGATAGGGACACTTTGAGATTCTCCAAAAATGCAGACCCAGATCTGCCATCCTTGCCTGGAGTTTTAATAAATAACAAAAGAAAAAATCTTGCATCCTGCTAGTGTTTTTGGTAGCTGTGGGCTGTGGCAGCTTGCTTTCAAGATAACCTGCCTCTTCAGCTATTCCTTGAACCTGCTTCTCTTTAAATCCCTTTCTCAAGCTTGCAGTGTTAATCTTTTGATCTACATCAAAAATGTTCTTAAACATCTAGTGTTTGCTCTGAAACAGGGCCTTGACGTTCCTTGTGCATCAGTCATGCCACAGATCAAGCTCATGAATGAAGGATGATGCACAGCAGACAGGGACAGGCACATGCAGCAAAGAGATATGTCAGGTTGGTCAGAATATCTAGCAATGCCCCAGCTGATGGACTGTTCTTTGATGTGCTATGGAAAAAAGATTTTCTGAGGAGTTACGACCTCTCTACAGTGAGAGGTGAGTCAACACTATTAAGATTAATATCAGTAACCTCCCAGTTTTTAATATTCTTAATGCACAAGGCTCCTCTTTGGTTTCACCATCTGAATCACTCCCCATTTTGGTCACGTTACAAACAGGAAGGCTGTCTGGTGTTTTTGTGGGATGTCTGCAATTGCTTGTGAGAGGGAAGGACTTAGAATCTGGTTCATAGCTTTGAAAGCCCAACAGGATTTTGGGATCCGCTCTTAATGGATCATAATGTTTTGTCAGGAAACACTTCATTTACGCAGATGAGGTGTCATAAGACAGATGAGCTGTCTTCTCCTTTCTACCTCTTGTGACAGGTAAACCCATCTGCATGATAAACCCATCCCTATGCACATGGGGAGGCTTTGCAGGGCTCTCATCTGAGAAAACAGAAGGCTTTCACAAACATCAGTGAAAGAAATAGCTGCAGTTCGTCTCCTCTGCCTACCCCATGTATGAGCCACAGAGAATCTGAAGGCCCAGCCATGCCATGAAGACAAGACACCATCAGCTCTCGTTCCTTTCCATGCAGAATTATGGATGCTGAAACCCTTCCCTGTGTAATTTGATCAAAGTTGCCTGGCTCCTGGCAGGGCTGGGAGATGAACGCAGACTGTGTTGTTTCCAAACTCCTCCTTCTCCTCTACTCGAGCACCCTTTGCCTGGTCATTGCTCCCTGGGTCCCCTCTGCCAGGCTCCAAATGCTCCCCGCTGCAGTCATCTATCTTGCTGCTTATCTGGTCATGTCTGGTTTGTATGGTTACCAATTCCCCATAAGGCTATTTTCCTCAGGGGTATCGGTGGAAGCAAGACTTTCTTGTTCCTCAAATGCTTTGCGCATTTTATTTTGTTGTTGTATTCCTTTTTTTTTTTTTTTTCCCCTCCAAAGCATACTCTGAAGCTGGTATGGGGAGTTTTATCTGTGTTATGTTGATTCTCTCTCTTTTTGTGACCCCACTTGCAACTAAGCTTTCTTTCCATTGCCTTTGTAGCTAGCAAAATAAGTCTTTGAAATGTGACAAGCAAAAGGGCTTAGACAAGGAACAGATGCTTTATGTAAGTCTGCATAAGCTGCAAAGAGCTATTTCTGAAGTGATGCAGCTGGTAGATTTCTCAGCTGGACTGCTCTTGGGGCAAGCTATCAGTTTTGTTCTTTGCTGTATTGAAGAAATGTCGTTGTTTGCTCTGGGACTAAACAATGAAATTGGAAAAAAAAAATTAGAAGAAAATGGTTCCACTTTGCAACCTCACATCTGCTTCAGCAGCACAAAAGTGTGGCCTGACAGGACTAGGCAAAGCCTCAGGAAGGTGTGACTGTGACTGGCTCATCACTGGCACTAACTGTGACTGAAATCTGAGTGCAGAGAGCATTTTCTTCACTTTCTCGACGTGATCTTTTTTCAGTTTGGATTTGTGAGAGCTTGAGTGGTACAGCATTTCTGGACTGTGAGGATGGTCGTTAATGTTAAACACAGGGCGTCCTTAGAGGTAGAGAGTTGGAGGTGGCTAGAAAATGTCTGTGTGATTTGTTGCACTCCTTTTCTGAGAATCCTTGGAAAACTCACGCTTTCTTGGCAAAGAGAACTGCATCTCTGGAATGGCTTTCTCCCCCCACCCCTTCCAAAAGGATTTGCTATGCAATTAACTCTTCCGATTGCTCAGCGTTTGCTATTTCTGCTCATTTAGCACTTGTAATAACACACTGCATCCAAATAATACCTGCTACGCAGTATTCTGATAGTATGAACTATTTAGGAGTAATTCTGTGCTAGTCTGGTGCAGACTCTAGGGTCAACAGTAGAGAGAAACAAGGGATCAATAAAAACCAAAGAATTGTTGGTAGAGGGGAGATGTGCAGAATCTCTTACCATACCCTGGGCATCCTGCCATAAAATGTCAATGTTTCTGACCCCAATAATATACAAAATAAAAGGGGAACACCAAGTACTCTGTGTGTGTGTGTGAGGGTGGGGCAGGGGGGGAACCTCTTGCATTAAAAAATTACTATGAGCGGCATCTGAGAGCTGACATCTCTTAAATCCCAGCTGTGAGTTCACTCGTCGATCTGTCTGCACCTTTCAATGTGATGTGGCATGTCCACGTGCACCAAAGGGCAAGGCTGACAGTACAAACAGACCCCAGCGGCTTTTTCAGGCAGATCCCGTTGTTCCAAGAGTGCTGAAGGTGTTGATGGACAGAAGTGGAGACACTGCTTAAAGTTACCTTTCAGTAACGTAAGTTTACCTTTTAGTAGGCTTCTGCATCTGCAGGTTTAATAAAACTAGTGTATGCCTTGAAACCTCAGTTAGAAAATCCACAACAGAGTCACTCCGTCTCGGCGAGCACAATGAGATGTGCAGAATCACCAGAGGAAGACGGCAGCTTTTGCCTGGTATCTCCGACCCTCCTCCTTCCTTCACCTTAAAGCTGGGAACGATGAGATTGCTCCTGTATCTACTCTTCCTAATGAGTGAGTCTTACCTCTATATTTATTTTACATATATTAGAAAATAAAAGTCTTGGTCCAGAAACAAGATAATTTCTAGAGACGCATATCGGTCCCTTAATGCGAGCCGATAAAATAATTCATATGTAGAAAGTTCAGGATGTTTGGACTTGTATGGAAAGTCCTTCCTTTGTGATGTCTTCATCTACTAGTTCAGAGAAATTCATGCTTTTGGCTGGAGAAAGTTTTATAGTTCATCCTTAGCGGGAGAAAAGTGGCTGCTGTGTGAAGTTACACTCTCAAATACAAAGCTAACAAGCTACATTTGGCCTTTTATGGTTTTTTATTTGTCTTTTTGCTCTTAGTTCAGTAGGTGAGAATAGAATGTAGGTGAGATTTTATATTTTGTTTTATGTTCTTCCCTTTCTAGTGTCATTTTAGATACACCTTGGATTAAGCAGTATGTGCTGTCAGAGATTTCCCACAAGTTTATGGCTTGTTGATCTCCTTAACAAGAGCTCTAGAACATGCAGTATTTTTAAAACAAAAATTTACTTGGGAGTAAGTTCATGTGAAGTAAAGCCTAGGTGTGAATTAGAAGGAACTTTTCCCAAGTCAGTCTGCATCCCCGTGTCACTGTGTCCTGTGGCCTCGTGGGGACAATTCTGCCATGGATTAGTCTTTAGCCACTTGTCCCAGGAAGGGTCACACACTTCCACTGCTACTCCATGAGCAGTGGGCAACTGCACGGGGATGTTACTGGCTCCTCTTCCGGACAGTCCAGATGCTGGTTTGATTCCATATGTGATAGAATTTCTGTTTGTCTGGTTTCCTTTTCAAAACACTCAATATACTTACTCCATCTGTAAGGAAGGAATATTGTCCTTTATTCATTTCATGCCCTGCTCAGCCTCACAGGCTTCCTGACAAGTTTTACACTTCCAGTGTGTTTGGGGAAAAAAAAAAAAATCATTATTAATTTTATTCTTTTAATGCCCATCAAAGTTCTCTGTGGCTTGCTTTGTGGTCATTTTAGATTTAACATCAAGATTTATGCTCTGTTGTTTTCCTTATTTGGGTTTGACATCTACATGTTGTATGATGATGCGTTATTTCTGCATATATCTTTGTTCTCGTGTCTGTCATTATGCTGGGTAACTCCTGGCTTTGTCAACATAAATCCTTCATGGATGTGCCCACAGAAGTTACTGATACCTTTTCAAATCTTAAAGTTTCTTGATTTGTCTAATGCAGATTTAAGATGGAATCACGGATGGAGGTTTCTATCCTTGTGTGATTCTGTAGATATTTTCTATTGCTCTTCTCTAGCAACCTTTTTTTTTATTTTTATATTTTCTTCAGCATTTGTGGTTTTTACTGATGAAAGTGCTGGTGCAGAAAAATGTAGTTGTCTAACCTGGTGGGTCTTGGTTACATTCTTAGAATGAATCTAACAGATCTACATATAGTTTGTCTGTATAGTTGGCTAACTGGTAACACTTTTTAAAATTTTATTCTCAGTTTAAGTACAGTGCACTTAATTTCAATAACTAAAGTGCTAAAACGCCCTGAGTCATGTGTTGGAAATCCCTGTGAGCAGGGAGTTAGGAGCAAAATGTTGCACTAACTCAGCTTTGCAGGATGGCAGCAGCACAACGAAGCCCAGAGCTGAGGAGCCTCTGGTTCCCAAGCCAAATGCCATTCAAGCACAGGAATATTCACAAGAGCGTGAATTCACAAGGTTAGCTCCCTGGCCACCATTTTTTTCTTTTTGTTGCTTGCTTGAGATTTGTCCCTTAATTCAAAGATGGTTCAACTTTCCAGGGAGCTTTTTCCAGCATATCTGGAATTCTGGCTTTTTTTAAAGGAAGTGTGTTGGAAGCTTTTGTAAATGTACAGGTTTTTAGGCTGATAGTCTTACAGTGGAAACATAGACAGATGCCTTAGGAGCATCTCTGAGTTAATTTAGGCTAAAACACTCTTAAAGTGGGATTTACAAAGCAAGGTGGTAGTTCAGGATGGTCTGCCTATGCTCTGAAAGGGGCACATGCCACCTGCCTGAAGGGTGGGACATTTCAGGAAGCAGATGACTAAAAGTTCACACTATTTTTATGTTTCTTGTCCTTGCTCTGATAACAGTGTTTCACTTCTTTCACCTCTGCTCTCATAGCCAGGCTGGGAAATGCCATGGAACCGATTGTGTAAGTTCAGATTCAGCTCTGAGTAAAATTAGAATCAAGAAAGTCTCTGTGTGGACACAAGGACAGAATTTGACCTCTTGTTAGTATGTCAGAGGTTACACTAAAAATGCTAGACTGCCTGTTTAAATGTAGGCTCAACCTACAGCCTCTAGAATTGGAGTCTGGGCATTCAGAGCAAGGATTTTAAGCTGGAGTAATTTGTACGAAATCTGAATTTTACTTTTGTCCTAGTTTCAGACAGGGACAGAGTTTGTGACTGGAACCACTTGGGCTTGTTCCTGAGATTAGAGTGAAGTTTTCAAAGTTGTCAGAGGTTTGCTGATAGAGTACAGCTTAGTGCTTGAATTTACAGCATTTATCATGGTAGTTTGCCTTTCATGCATCCTATTTTGTGATATTTTCAGTCTGTCACTTAAATTCAAGTACATTTATCTTCCCACCCTATGCATTTACTGAAGTGTTAACACACTTACAGAGATCAAGAGCTGATGTGTGAACAGCAATAAGGGTTCGCTTGCCACAGAGTCTTAGAGCTAAAACACCAGTATCAGCCCCTTTTTTTGAGGGCTGCCTTGCAAGAAGGAAGTACATCAATTAAAAAAAAAAAATAAATACTTTTAGGGCTGCCAATTCAGTTACAGCTCTGTGAATAATGGGTTGAAGTTCTTCCTTTTTTTTTTTATGGCTGTTTTATATGTACTTTGAGACGTTATTAGACTTATAGCAGAGCTGCATTCTCAGCAGAATATCCATCACATTTGGCACAAATTTACTCCCCTGCTGCCAAGCTTTGAGTTTTTTGTTAACGTCCCATAAAATCTATGTTCTCTTCTTACCAGGTTTACGACAATGCTATTCCTGTGGGGAACAATCCTTGGTGCTACCTAAACTGCTTATTCTTTAATCTAATGGGTTTCTGTGTCAGTCTGTTGAATATCAACTTTACAAGAAGTGAATCCACTGGTGCCACCTCCACAAACCCTGGAGTTTTGTTTCTTTCCTGCCTAAATGCAGGCTTGTGAGCTTCAGCTAGAGGGAATGTTTTGTGATATCCAAGATGGACTTTCATAACTGAACAACAGGACTTGTGTTACTTTTGTTTTTCATTAGGCTGGGCAAGAAAATCCTTTGTTAATCAAAATCAGTGGAATCTCCGTAGCTTGGTATCTCCCTCCCAAGTGCCTCTGCTGTCACTGTGGGCTGGGTTTGGGAGTAGCTGGCTCAAGAGACTGTTAACTATGAGTCTGTAGATCTCACAGTCTGCGCTCATTTATTTATTTGTTTCCAGTGGTCAAGTCCTTGAGGAGCTTTAATGTTGACACTGGCAAGACATGGATCACACCACACACAGCCTCTTTGTTGTGGCCCACGGTTCTTCAGCACTCAGATGGGAACACAACCATGTAAGGAATAGAAGAAAGAAAAACATACCCAGACTTCCCAGGTCTTTATGAATGCATGTGGCCTGAGGTCATGTAGCTTCTCACTTTCTGCAACTGTTAGCACAGGTTCCTCTGCCTGGGACCCAGAACTGTTCCTTGGTTCTCAGGGGCTGATGAGTGCTGTTAGAACTTCACCAGTGTGAGATGTACGTTGTCAGCCTGTGAGTCTTTGGGATGCTTTTCCCCTCACCCCCAGCTAAGTACAGAAAGGACGTCTGTTCATTTAACCCAATGGCAGAAACAAGCAGCTGGGTTTTTGCAGTACTTCCTCGCATACTGCATCATTTCTGGGGCTGCAGTCATCAACAGCACCCACCAGCTGTCAAGAGTTTTGTTGTGAGCTTGGTCTGAAGACCATAAAGAGCTGGAAATTGCTGTATTTTGACTATTGGGTCTGTAGGGGAAGAGAAATGGATGGCTAAGCTGGTGAACAGAAGCCAACCACAAGTGGTTGCTATAGAGATAACCTATATTATGCTAAGCAGATTGCTCTGACAGTGTAGCAGACAGGGTATTTTAAGTTTCAGAGTAAAGAAACTTTTCTACCCCCTGAGCAGAAATGGGCTGACTCAAAGGACAGTCTCCATTTCCTAGAGCAATGCCACCATTTCCTAGTATGGCAGTTGTACTTTCTCGCTCCACCTCCAGCTTCCCTTTATCTCCAGTATTTTATGGGCAAGTCATTTCCAGACCTCTTCCTTGGTCTGAGACAGCTCTTCTAAATTCACAGTGCAGGTAATGGGAAGGATGATGATTTGCAGAAGAAAATAAGTGTTTTCTTCTTAGTGATTGATTCAACTCAAAACCACACTGGTGTCCAGTTAATTACAAGACATCGTCAGAATAATAGGTGGCTGCCCTGGCA